GTGCATCCAGTAACCTGAGCGCAAAAACGCGGTCTGGTCTTCATGTACAGTTCCCGTTATTGTTCGATTTTAACCAACATTTATTGTCAGTAGTTTGACACAGATACCGAATTCGCAAATATGGAAGTATTATCGTAGGTCATACTAACATAAAAGTATTTCGATTAATATTGAAATGAAAGTTTTATTTGTGAATTTAAACTAGGGTCCACGGTTCTGGGGCATTCAAGTTCTGTAATAATGAGGGTAAGAGAATTAATTCATGAGCACTTGTCGTGTATTCTAGTTAAGTGCTCTGACTTACTCATACGAAATAAATTAGAAAATCCAAAGCGAAGAGAGATCACTTGGGAGTCTGAGAGGATACAGAATAGAGTGTAAGGTATATTACTGGGTTCAATTTGCCTCAAGCTAGGTTCCAGAACTGAGCTTCTGTGAAGGCGGAACCAAGTTGGCTGTTTTCTGGGATTTTGTGCCGTGTACTCTGGTCGAAGTTTGAAGACGTTTCAGACGTGCGTGCTGCCTCCATCATTAGGACAAACGCTCTGATGAAGGCATGTTCCTCTGAAACCTACCAGAATGCGCGGCGCAAAACCTGAGAACCTAAAATCTCACGGCAGTAAAATTTCCGGTTCCATAATTTAAAGAAATACTCACCGGAATCAGTTACTAGCCAGGAATTATTATTATTATTATTATTATCGGTTTTTGGTTTATTCATTTCCTGTGCTGACTGTATTTTATTTTGTGGTATTAATTTCATAAGTTTTTTCTGTTTTGTTTTATTTAGTATTATTAATTGAATTATATTACTTAAGTATATTTATTTCATTTATTTATTAATTTCTTTTGTAATAAATTAATATTGTACATTTATATATTTAGTTTATTGTTTGTTTGTTTTTGTATTGTTAGTGCTTGGCTGTTGTTAAGCACTTTAATAAATGAATTGAATTATTATTATTATTATTATGTATTTGTCGTAAACAGTGGACCGACCTTAACCTGTAATTTGTTCCTCTTTTTTGGAAAAACACAGATGAATTAAAATCATTGGTTCTTTTGTTTCATTTTCAGGAAGCAACTGACCCCGTATTAAAACAAATCTACAAAACATTTATTGCACCAAACACTAATAGCTTTCCAGGAAGCGTATTAGAATGCATGAAGCGAGTATGTGATGAGAAAACATACGTAGCTACTGTCGATTCCGACGAGAAAAGGTTGTACAGCGATAAGCTGTCATGCAAGCTAACAGCTGTTCCAAACGCGTTCTTCTGGGTACCAGCGTCATATATTATCACCAAGAAGAGTCCTTATAAGAAAATCTTCGGTCATCAGTGAGTTGATTTGCATTAATCTGTTAAAATACGAGGACAATATACAGTCTTGTTTCACGATTCATTTAAACATATTTTTACAAGGTTAGATTTTCTTCAAATACATGTGTGACACAGGAGCACAGTACTTACTCAGTCCTTAACGCCTACCTGAGCTCCTTAAGAAGCTGACTGATAGCCTTTCAGGTGATCAAGAAATTCCCCACATATCACAAAACCCGAAGGTGCATTACCATATATAAAAAAAAAACATTCCGTCACACAGATATTAACAATGTAGAATTAAATTCTGGGCTACGTTCCAACCACTCAGAATCATCTTCAGTCCCTCGTGCATACATTTCTTATTCTTAGTCTCGGGTTCGATTCCCGGCGGTGCCCGAATTTATAACTTGTGTTGGGCAAGGCCGTGGTCTAGGCAACACGGAGTTTTCCTCCGTGGCATCCCAACAATTACTCCATTCACACACAGAAGAAGGCAATGGCAAACCACTTCTGGATCATCTGCCAAGAACGTATATGAACAGGTCCCAGTCCGAGAAAAGGATGGAAGGATCCTGTTCATATGGACCTGTCGTCAGACAGAACACTAAATAATAATATAACAGACTTACATGTGACTAGCCATTGTCTAGAATTGCGTATTAAAAAATTAGAATTAAGTTAAATGTTATAGTTCTTGCAGTTAATTGTTAAAATTGATATAAAACGATTAGAAAGGTTAAAATTACTGTGAGTTTCACACATTGGCTGTGTGCTTATAAATAAGAGCATGAAAACACAGGCCATGTAAAATATCAGATGTGACAGAAATCACTGAAGTGAAAACCTCAAATCCTACAATATAAAAAATATATTGTAACATACTTATTTGAATGCTATACTTAGGAATTTCTTGGCTAACACATGAGTAAGGACATTGCACATGGACTCAGTATGTGTGTTTATTAATCAACTTCTATTCCAGCTTTTTTAAGTTCCACTTTATACAACTTTCACTGAATATTAGAAATTGTCACATTTATAGAGTGCACTATATTTTCTGCACATTTTGATTACAGCACTGAAAATCTAAGGCGTTCTGGAATTCTGAAGAAGCTCAAAGAAAATTTGTTTCCTGTACCGACTAATAATATCGAAACATCGAACTCTCAAGCAACACTGACCGATGTCTTACCAATTTTAATTATTTTGGTTTTTGGTTTCCTGGCGTCCATGTTTTGTCTTCTGGTCGAAATCTGTTTCCTTCGGCTCAGGAATTATTTCACAAACCAAATTGTTGGTTAAACAGTTCAATTCTTAAAATTAAATTTACTTGTCTGTATTTCGCCGATGTTAGGGTAAAGTCCATAAATTTAACGAAACAAAAATCAATTTTCCGGAAGTACTCACAAATCAGGTTTGCGGAGTTTCTTCACACAAAAATTATTATACGACTGATACACGAACTTAAAAGTTTTGCTAATTTACAGATAATATAAAATATATGCTGTACTATTAATCACATTTCGGTTATAATTTTCGGACTTATAAGCATTTAACCTGGCACTGGCGAATTATATTAAAGGGAATCCCAAAAACCGAATTCTATATGTACAAGAAAATTGTGCATAGGTTACATTTCTTATAAACCATTATAATGTAGGCAAAATAACGCTTTAATATAATCTGCTTTCAATATCAGAATATCTGAAATTAATAGACTATTATAATGATTACCCGTTGATTTATTAATCATTTACTATTCCCTCTCAAAATTAATGGCCACCGACAACTGCTACAGATCAAATACGATTATAAAATTCTTATAAATCACAATTTTCAAAGAGACGTCGAAGGAGGGACTAGTCTTACGTTGGATCCAAGAGCTGCTTCTTGAACCAATTAGAACATTCAGGTAATTTTAAACAACTAACATCATACATTTTGTCTATGAATGTTTTGTGGTCAGTAGCATCTGAAGTGTGAAAGTAAGACTACATGTGGAATGAAATTGGAACTTTGTCTGAAGTTACGATGGTAAGAAATGTATTTTTTTAAGAGAGCCTGGCTATTTGATTTTTAGCAGGAGTCTATAACTCCTTCACCACAACACCCCATACGCCTTCATCCTGGGGCACTAAGACCGAAGGCAGACTTCACGCTTGATTTGTAAACTAATATTCCTTGTCACCCAGCTGTAGCAACAACAACATTCAATGGAAAAGGATTGTGACGTGAGATCTGATAAACATCCAAACAGAATCACAATATCTGGAAGCATGGAACGAAATACCAGAAGCTATTTAATAAGCCCTTACGTGCAGGTCACGCGATAAAACACAAGATCAATAATATGAGTTATGCTATGTTTCAGTTGGGAGGAAAATGAGGGCAGAAGGATCGGAAAGTTGTGTCATCACTGGAAATATTAAGAGCAGTTACATTAAAACAACCGCCACGGTGATCTAGCGGTCAGAACACTAGCCTTGTAAGCCTGGGGTCCCGGGTTCAATTCCCGGCGGTGTACGAATTTATAACTTGTGTTGGGCATGGCCGTGGTCTAGGCAACACGGAGTTTTCCTCCGGGGGCTTCCCCGGTTTCTCCGTGGCATCCCAACAATTACTCCACTCACACACAGAAGAAGGCAATGGCAAACCACTTCTGGATCATCTGCCAAGAACGTATATGAACAGGTCCCAGTCCGAGAAAAGGATGGAAGGATCCTGTTCATACGGACCTGTC